CCTGGAGAAGGTCCAGTTTCTAGGCCACATGGTGAGCGCTCACGGAGTTCACGTCGACCCCAAGAAGATCGAAGCCGTACGTACGTGGAAGACACCCGAGAACGTGAAGGAGTTGCAGCAGTTCCTAGGCTTTGCCAATTACTACAACAGGTTCGTGCCACAGTATGCGAAACTCGCGGCTCAACTCACAAATCTGTTGAAGAAAAACACGCCCTACAAATGGGAGACGAAGCACCAAGAAGCCGTGGAGCAGCTGAAAAAGGCACTGACATCCGCCCCGGTGCTCATCTTGCCAGATCCCGAACGTGACTACGTCATCGAAGCAGACGCCAGTGATCAGGCTGTCGGAGCAGTCTTGATGCAAGACCAGGGGAATGGACTGCAACCGATCGCCTACCTCAGCAAGGAACTGCACGGGGCAGAACTTAACTACCCGATACACGACAAAGAGGCCCTTGCCATTGTCATCGCCTTCAAAGCGTGGAGATGTTATCTCGAAGGACGCAGAACAACCGTCTACACCGACCACTGCAGCCTGAAATATTTGAAGACACAACCCAACCTTTCCAGGCGGCAGGTCCGGTGGATTGACTTCCTCGAGACGCACTTCCACTACGATATCGTGTACAAGCCCGGCCACAAGAACAAAGCAGACGCCCTCAGCCGGCCTGCACACGTTGCCGCTATTCAGGCCGAAGGGATGAATCCACTACTCAAGGGACTCTTTACACACGGGTACGCCATCGACCCCGAAATTCCCTTGGCAGAAAAAAGACATCTGTTACAGTGGGACAACGACATTGCGTACCGGAAAGGGTCAACGAAAATCTGGGTACCCAATTACCCTCCTTTGCGCCAGTTACTAATCGAAGAATACCACGACGTCCTCTACGCCGGACACTTCGGTAGCAACAAGACGCTGACCGGTATCGCAAAACATTACTACTGGACTCACTTGGCAGATGATGTTCAGAAATTCGTCACCTCGTGTGATACATGTCAACGGATGAAGAGCAGCAAGCAGAAGAAATCAGGTCTGCTACAGCCTCTTCCTGTCCCAGAACAACCATGGCAAGTGGTTAGCCTGGACTTCATCACAGGGTTACCACCTACCACCACCGGTCATGACGCGATCCTCGTCGTCATCGACAAATTCTCTAAGATGGGACACTTCATCCCGACACACACGACGGCACGCACCGAGGAGACAGCACAGCTCTTTGTTCGCTACATCATCTCACAGCATGGCATTCCAACAACACTCATTTCCGACCGAGACCCCAAGTTCACCAGCAAGTTCTGGAAGGAACTCATGTCTCTGCTCGGCACCAAACTCGCCATGTCATCCGCATACCATCCGCAGACAGACGGACAGACCGAGCGCCTCGACCAAATTGTTGAGCAACTCCTCCGAGCAGCCTGCAAGGACGACATCTCCAAATGGGACTTGCACCTGCCCGTACTAGAGTTTGCTTACAACAATGCCACACATGCCGCTACTGGACAGACGCCGTTCTTCCTCTGCTACGGACGCCACCCACTCACACCACAGAAGCCGACAACACCAGCCACAGTCCAACCCGCACATGACTTCATCACAACCATGCATCAGCTTTGGGATCGGACCCATAAGCGCCTCCTTGACATTCAACAGCAACAAAAGCGCCAGGCCGATCGCCATAGCAACGACCACACCATCACGGTAGGAGACCAGGTGCTTCTCGACACCCGCAACCTGGACATCAGCCACCTCCCATCTAAACTTCGACCTCGCTTCTGCGGGCCTTTCCTCGTTGAAGCACGGGTCACCCCTGTTACCTTCCGCTTACGCCTACCAGCTACCTGGAAGATTCACAACGCCTTCCATGTCCAACTGCTGAAGCCCTATCGGGATCCTAATACGATCTTCGTCGGACGCCAACCGCCGCCGCCGCCGCCCGTCCTCGTCCAAAATGAACCCGAGTACGAGGTCGAGTCCGTGCTTGCACACCGCCGTCGTCGGAATGGCACCGTGGAGCTTCTTATTCGTTGGAAGGGTTATGATCCTTCTGAGGACAGCTGGGTCTCTGAGACCGACATGGGTAACGCCCGTCGTCCTCTGCATGACTACCTTGTCAAGCAGGGTGTTACTTCTACCACCCAGCTTTGAGGGGGGGAAGTGTGAGAGTACGACCCCGTAACACCACTTGGCCTTTTCCATATTTCATCTTCATTTCATTCCTCTTTTTCTCTCATCTCATTTGGTTTCCTATTCTCCATTTTCCCTTATTATAATTATATCACCGACCAGGCATGGAATGTTCTAGACACGCTATCTAGCGTAATCCTGCCGTAATCCCTTAAAAGCCAATAGCCTCGCGTGGCTATACGCAGGGTGATTCTATATTCTAGAAGGGTCTATTCCTTTAGATAGGATAAACCTGGTTACTTGATGTACTCCGGAAGTATAAAAGCGCCTTGTACTGATCGATAGTGCAATCTTTCCTCGGGTCATTCGATCCTGTGACACGAACTGTCGATGGCGATGAATTTTTTCGCGGGCAAGAAAACTCGAATTTATCGGCTCGAATCGCTTCAGCAGGTCGGCGCGGAACTGCTGCCACGTGGCTTCACCGTGGATGAAAGTACTGTTGCCGCCAATCCACTCGAGTGCTGGCCCTCGCATCAGTGTCGCCGCGAGTCGTACGCGTTGACCGTCCCAGACTGGCGAGCTCCATCCGACGGCTGCGAAGTAGATCTCCATCCCGGCGATCCATCTGCGGGCGTCGGAGTTTCGATCGCTCGGATCGAACGGCTCAGGTGGGCGCGGTTTTGGAGCCTCGAGAAATTGCTGCGACTGCTGCGTCGTCGCCGTTGTCGTCTCGTGCTGCGCTCCGGCGAGTCGAGTTACTCGCTCGAACTGGTTTCGCCACGCTTCGCGATCCGCTCGCATTTCCTCCTGAAGGGCTGCGATGCGCGCGAAGAGCTGCTGGGTAACCTCGGTGTTGTCGAAGGTTGCCATCCTGTCCAAAACACGCACGGAGGGGGTAATTCGAAAATCGCGGAGCTGGTGCTTACCAGAATCGGCGTCGAATTGGTCGCCCCTGGCGGTTTTTCGAGGCAGGATCCCCGCTGCTGCTGCTTAGCTGAGCGCGGTCGAGTGAGAAAAGCTCTGATTACCAAGTGTCACAGGATCGAATGACCCGAGGAAAGATTGCACTATCGATCAGTACAAGGCGCTTTTATACTTCCGGAGTACATCAAGTAACCAGGTTTATCCTATCTAAAGGAATAGACCCTTCTAGAATATAGAATCACCCTGCGTATAGCCACGCGAGGCTATTGGCTTTTAAGGGATTACGGCAGGATTACGCTAGATAGCGTGTCTAGAACATTCCATGCCCGGTCGGTGATATAATTATAATAAGGGAAAATGGAGAATAGGAAACCAAATGAGATGAGAGAAAAAGAGGAATAAAATGAAGATGAAATATGGAAAAGGCCAAGTGGTGTAACGGGGTCGTACTCTCACACCTCTGACCGAGCGGCTGCTGCTGCTTCGGCTGCTGCTCGTGCTGCCACGTCAGCTGCTGCGGCGGCTTCACTGTCCTTGCGCTCCTGTGACACCTGACGTGCGATTTCGTCCAAGACGGTTTCGACACGTCCGGTGCTGGCGACCTCTTCTTGGGCGGCAGATTTCTGATGCGAATCCTCTCGCGCCTGGCGTAACTCAGCAACTTCCGCACGAAGTCGCTCGTTGTCCTCCAGCACTGTAGCCATGCGTGTGTTCATGGCGTTGAACTGCTCCTGCAGCTCGTTGAACTGAGCTTGGTCCATTTGGCGAATGCTCCGCCGGGGCAGGGGGAAATCCGTAATGTGCCTGTACTCAGGTAAGCGCAAACGCTATCGCACTTGGGCGAATTAATCAGTCTAATTCGCGAGCAACCGCTTTGCAGCTTACATGAGGGACTCACCCCCCCTAAAAAAAATCAACTCTCGAAAACGGGTGAGCGAGGAAAGTGGCTCTGATTACCAGGTGTTATGAATGAACAAGCAGAGTAGCGCGGAAATGAATAACGAAGTGTTCACTCAATGAATGACGATACAAGGAATGGCAAGCCAAGATATAGGAACGCCAGAGCTAGTCTAACCATGCGATGATGAGGTTCGGGAAAGAGATCGAAGGGTCTCAAAGTGACGCAACGAGGCCTGGAGAACTCCCGAAGGTCGAACTAGAAGGTTTGGAGAAGCCGAGGCGGTTCTGTCAGAAGGTCTGGAACAGTCCCGAGGCTTCGGGTGTGTTCGAGCGTACGCGATAGCAGTACCGCTCTGTAAGGAATGGAAAATTCCTTACAATGTGTGTAAGGAATTAGTAATTCCTTACTGAGGCTTGCTACAGGGCGTACGACTCGAACAGTCCCCAACCAGCGATAGGGTTCCAGACCTTTCAGTTCGAGCCTCCTGGGCCTTTCCGGATCTCGCTTCGACACATCAAGGCCCTTCGACACTTTTCCCGAACCTTCCAATCCTACGTCCAGTAAACCCTAGGTTTCCTATATACCGTATTGTGTTGTTCTTTCATTTTATTGTAATTCACTTGTTCACAGTTTCGCCATTGCCCTCCGCGCTACTCGGCAGTTCCATTCATAACAATGTGGAGGTTTGATGCTAAGACAATCATGCTATGAGTTCAGATTCCTCACACTTAGGAAAAACAATTAGCGGATTTCCCATATGATTCAAAAACGGATTAGATAGAATATGGTAAATATAAGGTTTTTTCTGTGGTGTTACACTTAGCCGTACTTCTTTACATACAACATGGTAAATGCTTTTGAGGAGGATGAGCTGCATCCAATAATAAGGGCGTGTCATAAGCATTCATTTTCACAGAAATCTCATTCAACAGTTATAGATGTTATATGAAACGTTCTGAAACGAAAAGTACCTTACTGAACCGCAATCAAGTGAACGCTTATCTCACGCCCTAAAATGTTGGAAACACTTGATCCTCTCCTCTTTCGGTACCAGCCTCACCTTCCAGCTAACTTGCAACCCTCCTCGAGTCTCCCCTGTTCTCACTACTAAGGATTCCCAAGCCCTTCTCTCTCTCGCGTGCGCGCGCGCTCGTTTGTGTCGCGTCGCTGGACATGGAGGGCGACGATGGCGTGAAGGACACTGTTCTCGCGGAGACTGATCTCGAAGCGGCGCCGGTGGAAGCTGGCGACGCATTACGTTCGGAGCTAGGCTCGGAGCAAGGCTCGGAGTTAGGTACGGAGTTACCTCCCGAATCACCCATCCTCGACGAACCACCGCCTCTTGAACCCGCCGTCGCCGAAGGAGCAGGCGAAGCGGCAGCTGCAGTGGCAGCGGTGACGGCCGCAGCGGCTGCCGCGGCGGCGGCGGCGGCGGAACCGGCGGCACCAGCAGCAGCGATTGCTGCTGAGGGAAATGGCGTCTCGAAGCCGCGTCGTCGGAAAGTTGAGCTGGTAAAGACTAGAAAAGAGTAAACTTCAGTCAAGAGCGTTCCGAATTTCAGATATGTCCTGCGTCTAGAGCCATATCTGCGTACGTACCCGTGCTTCTAGTGCTGATCCTGCGTCTAGAGCCATGCATGCATGATGTGCCATGCCTGCCTGCCATGTCGGTTAAGAAGGTTCCAGCCTCGGATTATGTCATCTCTCTTCTTCGTGCCATGCTCCATAATACGCGTTTTTGCATCTCATGCCATGCCATGTGTCATACCAAGCGCCATATCCTGTCACGTGCCGTGTGTTACGCCATGCCTCATGCCACCTCTGCCACCCTTCTACCTGTCATGAGACATGCATCATGCCACCGTACCGTGCATTCCCATGCCATGCCAATTGGTGATTCTCACAGGTGGTGGAGGGAGACGAGCAGCCGCCTCCGTTCATTCTACTCAGTCAGAACTTTTACAGATTCCGCCGGTATGTCTGCACGTCGTCACAGGTTCCGCTCCTCCCTCCTCCCACCTCCCTCTCTCTATTTCACCTCGCTTCAGATGCCTGATCCCAGGGTTCTTCTTCCCCTGCTCTGCCCTCTTCCACTACTCCCCTCATGGTCTCACTTCCCACTACGCCTTGCTTCCTCTCTTCCTAAACCACTCACTCATGCGCCCCAGAGCTCCTCGGTCCACCCTGCTCCTTTTCTCTCTGCCGTTTTCCAATCCGCCACCCTTCCAACCCCTCTCAACCCCTCACTACAGCAGTCCAAAGCAGGTGAAGGGCGACGACGTGGCGGTGTGCGTGTTTCCAACCATATTGTTTCCTCCCCTCCCCACGACAATATTGTGTCACCCCCGTCAACCCCTCTCCACCCCCCTGTATCCCTTTCTCTGCACCAGTCCGAAGCAGGTGAAGAGTGACGACGTGGCGGTGTGCGAGTGTGAGCCGCCCGCGTCTGCCTCGGGCGCCCTGGGGTGCCACGTGGACGCTTGCCTCAACGCACTGCTCTGCACCGAGTGCACGCCAGGCTTCTGCCCCTGCGAAGATGCGTGCCAGAACCAGGTGCGCTTAGAGGATAGGGACTCAGGGAAGGAGGTTTTAGGGGGGGGTTGGGGGGGGAGGGGGGGGAGGCGTGTGCCTGTACGTGTCTTTGTTTGCTTGTGTGCGTGTCTCTGCACGCCGAGCTTCTGCCCCTGCAATGTAGCTTGCCACTACCAGGTCCGTTGGTGTGCAGTGCAGTGCACAATGCACATGCATGTGTTACGTGATGCGCTTATGTTGTGTGCATTTGTTGCCGTAGCAGCAGCCATGAGTGCGTGTGCATGTGCGTGTGCATGTGCGTGTGCATGTGCGTGTGCATGTGCACATGCCAAGTAACACCATCAAGCAGGCTCCGTGAATGAATGCACTGAAAGTTTCCATCGCTGCCAACTTTCTCTCCCCTCACCTCCTGGTCTCTCATCACCTCTTCCCTCTCCTCTCGCTCTTCTCCCCCCCCCCCCCCCCTCTGCCCCTCTGCCCCTCTGCCTTCCTGCCCCCCTGCTGCCGGCCTGCCTGCCTGCCTGCCTGCCTGCTGCTCTGCCTGCCGGCCTGCCTGCCTGCCTGCCTGCCTGCCTGCCTGCCTGCCTGCCTGCCTGCCTGCCTGCCTGCCTGCCTGCCTGCCTGCCTGCCTGCCTGCCTGCCTGCCTGCCTGCCTGCCTGCCTGCCTGCCTGCCTGCCTGCCTGCCTGCCTGCCTGCCTGCCTGCCTGCCTGCCTGCCTGCCTGCCTGCCTGCCTGCCTGCCTTTCTGCCTTTCTGCCTCCCTCCCTCCCTCCCTTCCTTCCTCCCTCCCTCCCTCCCTCCCTCCCTTCCTTCCTTCCTCCCTCCCTCCCTCCCATCCTTCCTCCCTCCCTCCCTCCCTTCCTGCCTGCGCGTCTGCGTGTATGTCTTGGTGTGGGCATGCGGGTGCGGGAGAGCAGCGCTTCCAGCGGTGTGAGCATGCGCGCACGGTGGTCAAGAAGGTCAAGGGCCGAGGCTGGGGGCTCGTGGCAGCCGAGCCCATTAAGGTCCGTCCGTGCCTCTCTCTCTCTGTCTCTCCCTGCTGCTCGCCTGCCTCTCTCTCTCTCCCTGCCGCTCGCCTGCCTCTCTCCATGGGCCTCTCTCCATGCGCCTCTCTCCATGCGCCTCTCTCCATGTGCCTCTCTCCATGTGCCTCTCCCCATGTGCCTCTCTCCATGTGCCTCTCTCCATGTGCCTCTCTCCATGTGCCTCTCCCCATGTGCCTCTCCCCATGTGCCTCTCCCCATGTGCCTTTCTCCATGCGCCTCTCTCTATAAGCCTCTCTCCATGCGCCTCTCTCCATGTGCCTCTCTCCATGTGCCTCTCTCCATGTGCCTCTCTCCATGCGCCTCTCTCCATGCGCCTCTCTCCATGTGCCTCTCTCCATGTGCCTCTCTCCATGTGCCTCTCTCCATGTGCCTCTCTCCATGTGCCTCTCTCCATGTGCCTCTCCCCATGTGCCTCTCCCCATGTGCCTCTCCCCATGTGCCTCTCTCCATGTGCCTCTCTCCATGTGCCTCTCTCCATGTGTCTCTCTCCATGCGCCTCTCTCCATGTGCCTCTCTCCATGTGCCTCTCTCCATGCGCCTCTCTCCATGTGCCTCTCTCCATGTGCCTCTCTCCATGTGCCTCTCTCCATGGGCCTCTCTCTATGTGCCTCTCTCCATGTGCCTCTCTCCATGTGCCTCTCTCCATGTGCCTCTCTCCATGTGCCTCTCTCGTCTTCCTCTCTCTGTGTCCTGCCTGTGTGCCGTTGTGCCTTTGTGCCTGTGTGTTTTGCTGCCTACGCGTCTGCATCTCTGTGTGCCTGTATCTCCTCGTGTGCGCCACATCACCCACCCACGTCACCCACCCACGTCACCCACCCACGTCATCCACCCACGTCACCCACATCACCCGATCTGGTGCATGTGCGTGCAGGCAGGGCAGCTTGGTATAGAGTACTGCGGGAGGTGGTGCCCAACAAAGAGGCACTGTTCACCCACACTCAAACTCACCTGCATTGCGCTTCCCTCATCACCTCACCAACCCCATTCACCTCCGTCCCCCCATGGTGTACGTACGTATGCCATGCCTCAGGCAGGGCAGTTTGTGATAGAGTACTGTGGGGAGGTGGTGCCCAACAAGGAGGCACAGAGACGCCACGGCGAGTACCTAGCTGCAGGTACTGTGCTGTGCTGTGCTCCCCCCACCATGCTCCCTGCTCGGTTCCCTCTTGCTCCCTGCCTCTTGCTCCCTGCCCCTTACTCCGTGTGTCATGAGTCGATATTTGAGTCGACTCATTACACACGGTTTCCCTCTTCCTCCCTGCCCCTTACTCCCTGTCCGTTTTCCCCCCTTCCTCCCTGCCCACTCCTCCCTCTTCCTCTCCTTGTCGCACATAGTGTATTTCTGTGTGTGCTATATGAAGATGTGTATACATACAGACATAATATATATACATGTACACATATATACACACACACACGTAGTATATATTCTTTCCTTAGGCTGTCAACGTCTGTCCCTTGTTGTGCCTCCCCAGGCGAGAAGAACGTGTATCTGCTCAAGCTGAACGCAAGGGAGGTCATAGACCCCACTAAGATGGGCGCCGCTGCGAGATTCGTCAACCACTCCTGGTAGGTGCTGTGTCTATTCGTGTTATAGTCAGTTGGTTTTGAGACATCTCGAAGCTGAACGCAGGGGAGGTCATAGACCCCACTAAAATGGGCGCCGCTGGCGCTGCTGGCGCTGCTGCCAGATTCGTCAACCACTCCTGGTACTTCCTCTCATCACATGTCGCCCTTAGTTAATCCCTCTCTCTTATAAATTCTGAAGGATTGCAACTCCGGCAGAAGACTTATTCCGATTTTATCTGCATGCCGGCCAGCCCGGGTGTTCATAGGGCTGTATCTGTATCTCCCCTCTTGCTTGACCTGCTATCTCTTTAGGTAACGCATATGCTGTATTTTCATGGCTCATCCACCTTCCGCACTCAGCAGACTCTCTCAGCTCTTCAGCCAATCCGTCACACATCTCGAATCTGCCACAGGCGCCTCAGATTGCAACTGATAAATCTCTCAGCATTGCCCCCCGGTCCTTCACCCATCTTGCCTATCCCCCTATCCGCCCTCTCTCCCCCCCCTCAAGCGATCCCAACTGCGAGACGCGCAAGTGGACGGTCCTGGGGGAGATCTGGGCAGGCATATTCGCGCGCAAGGACGTCAAGCCGGGCCACGAGCTCACCTATGACTACGACTACGAGTGGCCTCTTGACTCTACTCCCACTTCTCACTGCCCTGCCCCCATCCCCCTCGTCTCCCTGTCAAACCCCCCTCCCCCTCTCTCCCCTCCGCTCGTCTCCGTCCCTCCTCCCCCTCTCCCTGTCCCCTCTCTCTTTCCCCCCCTCAAGCGATCCCAACTGCGAGACACGCAAGTGGACGGTCCTGGGGGAGATCCGGGTGGGCATATTTGCGCGCAAGGACATCGAGCCGGGCCACGAGCTCACCTACGACTATGACTACGAGTGGTACGGGGGCGACAAGGTCAAGTGCCGCTGCGGAGCCGCCTGCTGCGTTGGCTTCCTCGGAGCCAAGTCCCGTGCCTTCCAGGTGAGTTCTTCTTCTCCCATCCGGTGGGGATTTTCTCTTGCGGCGCCTGCAAAGGCTGCCGCAGATTTGTCGGGGGCAAGCCTCGGGCCTGTGGATTGTTGCTTTATGACCTCTTTGTTCAGAGTCCAAGGCATCCCCTTGGTTTCTTTCCAAAGCCGTCTCTCCCCTTAGTTGGTCGTTTGGATGACCTCGTGTGCATGCTGGTTGGCTCCACACTTTGTGTTGGCGTCGTTCTGCATGGCACCTAACATGAGTCGAGTCCCTTTGAGTCGAATCACTTTGATTGGAGTCAGTTTGAGTCGAGGCAAAAGATCCTCGATTCGGCAGATCATTGTTGTTCTCAGGGGTCACCTCTCAAATGTGCCCACATTTCATGTGTGTTTGTGTGGTCTGCCTGGCCCCCCTCTTCTGTGGCATGCAACAACAGGAGGACACGTACCTCTGGGTGGATGATGATGGCCGGTGAGGGCTTTAAATAGAGTGCTTTAAAGACAGTGCATTACTATACAGAGGTTTTGTAGCCAACTTAAAATGGGTGATTACCATGAGCATGGTGATCAATAATACTTTCTTACATTAAATGCTGCCTTGCTGTACTGTACCTTCTCTTTCCCCCCTGCCATTTCATCCCTCCAACACGCCTTTCCCACCTCCCATCTCTCTCTTCCCCCCCTCTTCCCTCTCGATCGATCGTCTCTCTTCCTCTCTAGCTTTGAGGTAGAGGACGTACCTCTCTACGATTCCAGCTCAGACGAGAGTGAATATGAGGATGAGGAGGAGGCGGACGAGGAAGATGAAGAGGAGGAGGAGGAGGAGGAGGAAGAAGAGGGGGAGGGTGAGGAGGAAGAGAGGTTGGATGGTGTGGGGAGGAGAGAAGGAGCAGACGAGACTGAGAAAGAGGGCGATAAGGAGGGGGGAGTGAAGAGGCAACAACAGCAGACAGAGAGAAAGGGGGGAGCTGCAGGGAGGAAGGGAGGGAGTAAGGATGATGGAGGGGGTGTGGAAGTGGAAGGGGAGGAGGAGTATTGGGTTGCGGGAGAACGGGGGGGGTATGACGCAGAGGATTGGGAAGAGTGGCTAGAGAATGAAGATGATACTCTTGAGGATGGAGCGTGGGAGGAGGAGGATGGATCAGTTGCTGACTTAACGAAAGATGGAGAGGGGGAGGAGGGAGAGGAAGGAGGGGAGGAGGCGGAGGCGTTTGAGGGAGAAGGGTATGAGGGACAGGAGGGGGTGGAGGGGGGAGGGGCAGAGGGGATGCAGCAGGAGGAGGGAAAAGAAGGGGGTTGGAGAAAGGCAAGAGGAGGGAAGCGAGGGGGGGGAGGGATGAAGAGAAAAGCGCGGAAACCGCGGGTTAGAAGAGCGGACCTTCCTAGGAGTTTGTTTAGTCCCTTTGGGGGTATGTACGGGGGTGGGGGAGGAGGAGGTGGAGAGGGAGAGGGAGAAGGGGAAGGAGAAGCGGAGGAGAGGTGGGTGCGGGGAGGGGGTTACAGTGGAGGAAGTTTGGGTGATGGTGGTCACGCTGGTGATGGTGATGGTGGTGGGGGCTACGGTCCGTGCGGGTGGGTGGTGGGGCGGTATTTCCACAGCGCCCAATGCCCAGGATGCAGGAAAATGCGGAGAGCTGCTGCAAAAGAAGGGAGGTTGTCTGGTTCTGGTTTAGATGTGTATGGAGGCGAGATTGAGTATGGTACTGCTGGTGATGGTGGTCTGGGAGAAGGAACGAAGCGGAGGAAGAGGAGGAGGCGGAGGAGAGAGATGGAAGTGGGGGGGATGGACGACGGAGGGGGAGAGGAGGGCGAGGAGGGGGAGGAGGGGGAGCAGAGAGAGGAGGGGGAGCAGAGAGAGGAGGGGGAGCAGAGTGAAACTCCAAGGCGAAGGCGAAAGAAGAAGAAGGAACAGAGCGTGGACTATCCAGATGTGGTCTCCTGTCTCCCGGATGACCTAGCCTCTTCTCTCGCTGCTGGTGTCGCTGATGCTGATGGGGACGCTGCAACCGCTGCCGCTGTTGCCGCCGCCGCTGCTGCCGCTGCACGCGCGTGGAGAAACGCAGAAGCAGCCAAGAAGCAGAGGAGAAAGGCGGCGCAAGAGGGAGCGGGGAGGGGGTTGGGACGGGGGAGGGGCAGAGGGAGAGGGGGAGAGGGGAGGGGAGGGGAGAGAGGAAGATTCCCTGGAGGTGCCTCTGGGAGGGGGTTAGGGCTGGTAGGTAGAGGCATGGGAAGGGGTGGAAGGAGGGGTGCAATGTCAGAGGGTGGTGTGGAACGAAGCCAGTCATCTGGGCACCATTTCCCTGCCTCTGCTCGACCGAGCCCTCCTTCTGGCCTCAAACATTCTAGCTCTATCCGTTCTGTTGCTGCTCCATCCGCCAATGCTGCCTCCCCAAAGCAACAACCCGCCCCGGCGCGACCCCCGCTCTCCCCTCGCTCCCGCTCCTGTGCCCTCATCCCGCCTTCCTCCTATAGTCCCTGCCTCTCCCCTTACCTCCCCCCCTCAAGCGTCCTGCTTCTAAGAGAAGCCACCAACCATGCAACTCGGAGCCGAGCGGGTCAAGTGCCAGATCTGCTAAGTGTGGGAGCAGGGGAGGGGGGCGGTGGGGGCGTGGGGCGGATTGGTGGTGGGGAGAGTGGGGCGGATGGGAGTGGTGGGGTGCTTGGGTTTGGAGTAAGGAGGAGAAGGGCCGGGAGAGGAGTGTTTTTGAGGCCAATTGGCAAGTCGCTAAAGCTAGACAAGGTGCTGATGGTGCTGGCGAGAGGCAAGGAAGGGGGCAAGGAGAGGGGCAGGGAGGGGTGCATAGAGGGGTGCAAGGAGGGGGGCAGGGAGGGGGGCAGTGAGGGGGGCAACGAAGGGTGTGAAGAAGAGGAGGAGAGGACGAAGCAAGTGCTGGGTCTTATGGTAAGTTCCCGTCCTTGGTCGTTTCACACACTCCCATGCCTCATTCCTCTTCCTCCTCCTTGCCCCACTCCTTGCCCACATCCATGCATCATCCCTCGTCACATATCCCTCCTTTTTCCCTCGTTCTTTGCTTCCTCCCTTCTTTCTTCTCCACCTGTCTTCCTCGCACAGGAAGCAGCTCAGCAGAGAGGCAGCATTCTTTGCACTCAAGGCTCAAGCGGCTCCGCCGCAATCTGCAGCTCACTTTTCTTTCCTGTCACCTCGTTCCTTACTTTCTTACCCCCCTGCAGAAAGCAGCCCAGGAGAAAGAGGCAGCATTCTTTGCACTCAAGGCTCAGGCGGCTCAGCTGTCCTCAGCCGCCCAGTCTGCTCCGGCCTCGCGTGCTATAAACGAGCAGCTTGTAGCGGCACACTGTAGCAGGCTGCTGGGCTCGTTCAAACTCCACGCTATGTTCCTCTCTGTTGCTGCTGCTGCTGTGGCAGCTCCTGCACCAGCTCCTGCTAGTGCCCCAGCTGCTGCTGCTGCTCCTGCTATTGCCACTGGTGCTGGTGTTGCCGCTGCTGCTGCAGCTCCAGCTGCTCTGTTGGTCACTTGTGAAGGATCTGGCACTGTCAGTAGTGAGGGCAGTGACAAGAACCGTTTTCTTAGCACTGGCAATGGCAATGGCAATGGTACCGGCAATGGTGCTGGTAGTGATATTCTGGGCAGTCTAGAGGGGAGAGGGGGCGCTAATGTGTATATTTAGGCTGGAAAACTGTTAGGCTGATATATACCTACGATAATACGCAGTACAGAATTACACTACACATGGTTCAAATCATGTAGTTGACCAATGTGGATTTTATTTTTTCTAGCACAGCATAATGACCATTAATGTACATCACAACGAAACAAAAACCGATTTATGTGGCTCATAATGTAACACCCCCGGCATCAAGCCATCTCACAAACATACATGGAAATACTAGGAAACAAAAGAGAGCGCTGGTCTCAAATCTGGCAGCAATAGTTACCTATGTCTCTCACACATTAGACATGTGTGGTGAGGTTTTCCCTTCCCTGTGAATGTGCGATACAAACGTATGCCACTGCTGCTGCTGCTGCTGCTGCTGCTGCCACTGCTCCGGCTGCTGCGGTAGCGGCAGCTGCTGCTGCCACTGAAACTGCTGTTGCTGCTGCCAGTGCTGCTGTTGCCGCTGCTGCAGCAGCTCCCTCTGGTCAACCACATGCAATGGCAGGCGGCACTTTTTGTCCAGATCAGTGTGAGAGGGAGGACGCAAGGAACCAGCCACGCCTCCCAGCTCTCCGCTGTTGTAAGCCATCGCCGAACCCAGGTGATGAGCCGACGAATCAGGAGGGATGCCCATGGGTGGGTGGATGCCCTTGCCTGGCAGCAGTGCAGAGATGGGTGGTATGTGCATGTCCGGCTGCTGCGGCTGCTGCGGCTGCTGCTGCTGTATCTGCTGCTGCTGCTGTATCTGCTGCTGCTGCTCCATGATGCGGTGGCTGCGGTGGTGCGACAGAGGCATGCGGCCTGCAGCAGCCCTCTCCGCCTGCATGTTGGCCTGCATGGTTTGCCAACACACATGCATACACACATAGGGGGGAGCATCATGGTATTGGGCTGAGAGAGCGGGGAAATGCGCGCGCGAGAGAGAGAGAGAGTGAGAGTGAGGTAGAGACCAGAAGGAGCAGATTGTACGGTTGGAAAGTCACGAGTAGGAACGACAAAAGAACGAAGACCAGTCTCTTATTTTCGAGGAGGAGTGCAAAGAGGATTCTGGACCATCTCTGCCAGTAGCCGTATGCATCAACCAACCTAGACTGTTCTCACATTGGTCACCCTGTATCGTATACTACACCATCCACCTTCCCATCCCATACCCATACCCATCCCATCCCATCCCATCCCATCCCATCCCATCCCACCTCTCCTCTCCTCTCTGCCATACCTGTTGCCTCAGGTATCGCTCCCGTCGCAGCAGCTCCCTGGCGTCTTGCAGCAGCAGCTGCAGCGACTGCACCTGGAAGAGTAGAGCCTGCCGCTCCCACTGCCAGTCGCTCAGCTGCAGGGGGGGAAGAGCGAGGGAGGACAAGAAGACGGGAGGACAGGAAGGGAGAACAGGGCGGGAGAGAAGGAGGAGATTGAGGGAAGTCGGAAAAGCAGGGGAAACACCGCCTGCAGTAGCAGCTGCAGCGATTGCACGGGGATGGAACAGGAGCGCATGCTGCTCCCACCACTGCCAGTTGCTAGGCTGCAGGGGGGAAGCGAGAGTGAGGGAGGGAGATTGAGGAGGAGGAGGAGGGGAGGGGTGGAGAGAACTGGCAGGAAACAAGGAAAAAAGAGGGAGGGAGGCGAGGGGGAGGAGAGGGGGAGGAGAGGGGGAGGAGAGGGGGAGGGATAGTTATTGAAAGGAGGGAGAAAGCGAGAGCATGACTCATGAGAGAGTGAAACAGGCTGACATGACTTGTGCCGGATGATAGGGGCTCATCATCCAACCACGTGAGCCGGATCAGTGACTCGCCCAACGAATGCCTAGCTTACAGTGGAGGTGACTTTTACCGAGGAATCTGAAACCTCTTCCCCCCCCCACGCCCCCCTTCCCCCCTCCTTCCCCCCTCCCCCCACGTATGCACGCACACACACACTCACACGCACACGCACGCACACACAAAAAAGCACGTTGCTTACAGTGGGCTCCGCGCCAGCTTGCTTGGCACACGGCTCTTTCCCCTCTGTCAGCCCGACCTCCTCGAAGGTACCATCTCCACTCCCATCCGCATTGTCATGGCCTTCATGATCAGTAGCATTGCCATTGGCATTGCCATTAGCATTGCCATTGGCACTGCCATTGGCATTGGCACGGGCAGGAGCAGCCGCTGCTTCCCCATCCGTGATCTGGTGGTGCAGAGGAGAGAGCCCACGGGTTAGGGAATACGCGAGCGAGCCTTGGTCGTCCTGCAATGAGAGAGAGCGAGGATCAAGTGAGGGGTATCAGGACACGACCCTCCATAGTTTTCATTGTACCAACCGTTCTATCAATATAAGGACTGCTTGAGAGAGAGAAGGACGGACAAAGGAGAGGCAGAAAGTGGCAGAAAAGTGGGAAGAAGGGGAAAACGGGGGGAAAGCGAGGCTTTAAGGGACAGAGAGGGAGACGACCAGCCTTTCACTCCACACCACACACTTTCACCAGCCGGTTGCCCAGCATTCCATCACACCCAACCGCTCTCCACCGAGTCTTACCTTGCTGTTCACCTGCATCTGCAGTCGGTCCATCTCAAGCACCATCGCCGCCCTTTCCTCCTCCCTCTCCCTCACCACCGCTCTCAACCTCCCCACCTCCGTTTCTAACTCCTCCGCCCTCTCACCCCTCTCTCCCCTCTCGCCCAGCCTCGCCTCCCACTCCCGTAACCTCCCCTCCTCCTCCCTCACTCGCTCCTCCCTCTGCCGCAAATCCCCCTCCCTCTCCACCACCTTACACTCCCACACTCTCGCCTGCTCCTCCCTCTCCTCCACCATCCGCTCCCACTCACACACCCTCTCCTCCCTCTCCCTCACTCCATTCTCCTTCTCTTCCAATCGGCACCTCACCTCCCCCTCGCTCCGCCTCCTCTCCGCCTCCCTCTCCTCCTCCCGCTCCTCCAGCCTCTGTATCTCCTCCCCGAGCTCGCCAATCCTCTCGTCCTTCTCCCTCATTTCCTCTTCTATCTCGCGCATCTCCTGCCGGTGCCTCTCGGCCATTCGGAGCATGTCCCACCGCACCCCTGCCACGGACTTCTTCTTCCGCCCGTCTCTATGAGCCGCTTCCCCTCTCATCCTCCCCCTCACATGGCCTCCTAGGCTCTCCCCTGAGTGCCCCCCTGAATGCTCCTCTGATTGCCCCCCTGCCTCCCCTGCCTCCCCTGCCTCTATTGTCTCCGCTGCTTCGCTTGACTGAATCAGTTCCCCAGAGTGTCCGATTGACCCTGTGCACCCGCCGCTGCCGAGCGTCCTGCTGCTGGTTGAGTCGGCGTCGGAGGAGTCGCAGTCGTCAGTCACGGTGGATGCGTAGGAGGCGTTGGATAGGGGCGACTGCAACAGGGAGTCGGAGGGGTGGGGAGTGGGGAGGGGGGGGGGAGGGGGGAGGGGGAGGGGGAAGGGGGGAGGGGGAGATCCGGAACAAAGTTGGAAAAGGCTTTCGTAGAAATCTCGCATCGCAGGAGTCGCAGTCATCAGGGATGCGACTCTCTGCCAGCAAGAAGCGTTGGGTAGGGGCGACTGCGTCAGGAAAGGGAAGGGGAGGAGGGGGGGTGGGGGGGGGTGGGGGGGGTAGGGATCCGAAACAAAGCTCTAGAGTCGACAGGAAGCAGACTCGTCAGTGACGGTGGGCGCATAGGAAGCGTTGGATAGGGTCGAGTGACTGCGGTTGGGAGCGGTAGTAGGGGGAGATCTAGAACAACGGAGGGAAAGACGGGCGCAAGGCAGGTGGGGGTGAGTGAGAGAGACTAGGAGAGGATAATGTGCGAGCCGACCACCCTGAAGACACCTTCTAGGAGATTAGTACCTCGCAGAACGATACCTGCAGTGCACCTGCCCGAACTTCCCTTCCACCTCCACTCCACCTACTGCTGATCAGACCCAACCCAGCAGCCCAGCAGCCCAGCAGCCCAGCAGCCCAGCAGCCCAGCACCCGCCCAACCCAGCGTACCTTGCAAAACGACACCTGCAGCTGGCCGAACTTCCCCCCCAGCTGTGCCTTCTCGGCCCTCAGCGCAAAAGGTCTGATCCCAAACAGCCCGCACAACCCAACCCACAACTCACAAACCCAGCCACTGAATCGCCCATGCCAACCCAGCGTACCTCGCAGAACGACACCTGCAGCTGGCCGAACTTCCCCTCCAGCTCCACCTTCTCTGCCCTCAGCGCGCGCATCTGCCGCTGCATGGCCGCGCGCTCCCCCTCCCACCGCGCCCGCTCCTCCCTCCATCTCCCCTTCTCCTCCCTCCTCTCCTCCTCCCTCCCCTCCCATGCCGCCTTCTCCCTCCGGTGACTCGTTCTCTCCATCTCCAACTCGTCCAGCAGCTGCCTGTTGCTGCGGGATTCTGCCATGAGCCGTGTCACCTCTGCCGTCAGTCTTTTGCTCTCTCTTACCGCCTGCTCCGCCCTCTCCTCCGCTTCGTCCAGCCGCTGCTTCACCCGTTCTCGCTCCTCTGCTGCTGCTGCTGCTGCTGCTGCGGATTCTCCTGGTGCCGCTGCTACAGCCCGCAGGGTCCTCGGGGGGGAGGCCGGGAAGAACAGGCTCTGCACGCCCTGCCCCTCCACATGAGCCCCCACCTGACCGTTTCCCTGGGATTCCACTTGCACCTGAGCTTCCGCCTGGCACTCAGCCATGGCCTTGATTGCCGCCTCCCTCAGTTTTACCTCCTCAGCGAGCTGTGAGGCTCGCTCACGTGCGGCGCAGAGCATCTCATTGCGGTCCACGAGCTTCTTGGCTAGAGACTCGACTGCCTCGCGGTGGGACTGTATGAGTTTCTCCCGCACCGCCACCGCCCGCTCTGCTGCTGCTAGCCGCGCCTCCAGCGCTGCGATCGCGTCGTCTTCATTGGTACTGCCATTGCTGCTACCATTGCTGCTGTTGTTGTTGTTGTTGTTGTTGTTGTTGCTGCTGTCATGTGTCGTTCCTGTTGCTGCTGCGGCTCCCTCGTGCGGGTCGGCTGCTGGGACTGGCGGTACTACTGCGGCCGCTGCTGCTGCCACTGATGATGACGATGATGCTGTGCTTTCCGCATCTGCAGTTGCTTTTGGTGCTGCTGTTGCTGCTGCTGTTGTTGATGCTGCTGTCGCTGCTTCAGTTAACTGCTGGATCTGCTCCTGTTCCTGCTGCTGCTGCTGCTGCCGCTCCTTGTTATGTTGCTCCTGTTGCTGTTGCTCCTGTTGCTGTTGCTGCTGCTGTTGCTGCTGCTGCTGCACTGGCATCCCCTTAGCCTGTTGGTACATGGACGTGATGCTTGTGCGCACCCTCCCACTGCCAAACCTCCCACCACTCATCCTCGCACCTTTCGCACCGACAGGCGCACAGGATTCAGTGGCACCAGCATCGGCACTGCTACTGCGCCTGACGAACTCACCACCTGCAGCACCAGAATGTGGCCCAGCAGCAGCAGCAGCAGCAGCAGCCGAAGCAGCCTGCGCTGCTGCTGACTCCCCGCCATCACTAGAACTGCGACAGATTGAAACTGGGCCTTCAGGAGCGAGTGGTGGAAGCGACGCATCAGAAGCACAAGAAGCAGGAGGAGGAACAGGAGCAGGAGCAGGAGCAGGAGTTGGTGCTATCAGGAATGTGACAGGAAGGCTCAATCGACCCAGAGTGCCTGCTGCTGTGGGTGCAGCAGCGTCCAGCTGCAGTCGCGGGTCAGAAGAAGTATCAGCAGAGAGAGACGGAGTGAAAGGAATCAGGCGAGGAAGTGGAGGAAGGAGATGAGAGAGAAGGCGGGAATGATCGGGAATGCGAGGGGAAGTAAGACATGTATGACGGAGCCCTGCGCTGACCTCGTCAATGGTGGCGAATGCATCAAAGGTGAAGGAGTCGGAGGGGAACCAGAAGGGCTTGCGTGCAAAGGCCGCGCATGTCACTGGAAGAGCGCAGCACGCATTGGGCGTTGGGGGGAGGAGGAGGCAGAGGAGGAGGAGGAGGAGGAGGAGGAGAGGGAGAGAAGAAGATAGGGATTGGGGGAGACAAAGGAAAAGGAGAAGGGGGATATTTAAGAATTCTCAAATATCACCTATAGCACGGGAATTGCATTCGAGGGGACGTGGAAACACAGCAGCGTGGAAACTCGTGCGTTCCTGGTAGGAGCAAACGCAGAGACGGCAAAGGCCTACAAGTGCGTGGTAAACCACCGCCAACCCCCACGTGCTCGTGAGGACACGCACACGCTCGCGTAGTCCCTCCCTTATGGCTGACTGACCTCCTTTCTCCACATAGGCATTGGGCGGCAGCAGGAACGTGCACCCCCTCTCCACTGTGTACGCCTTGGCCTTCCCCGGTGTGATCTGCGGTGAGAGCACGGGGAGAGCACGGGGAGAGTGGTGGGAAGGCAGGGAGACATTTGAGTCGGCTCAAAAGGGCGGCAGCAGGAACGCGCACCCCCTCTCCACCGTGTACGCCTTGGCCTTCCCCGGTGTGATCTGCGGTGAGAGCACGGGGAGAGTGGTGGGACGGCAGGGAGGAGGGGGAGAGGAAGGGGGGAAGGGGAGGGAGGAAGAGGGAGGGGGAGCGGGAGATGGGAAGGGAGTGGGAGACGAGCAGATTACAGAGATCAGTAGCCAGCAGATCTAGTAACGGCTCGCTGGGAAGACAAAACGACCGAGCAAACTAGCAGAGAGTCGATGATCCCTGCCCAACTGCCACGACGCATGAGGCCTCTGGGCCCGTGGAGGGAGAATGGATAGGGGCTCTGGACGCTAGTAGGCTCTGGACTCTGGGCTGGACGCTGGACGCTGGACGCTGGACGCTGGACGCTGGACGCTGGACGCTGGACGCTGGACGCTGGACGCTGGACGCTGGACGCTGGACGCTGGACGCTGGACGCTGGACGCTAGACGCTGGACGCTGGACGCTGGAGTCTGGAGTCTGGCGGGGCTTACCCGGATGGCTCGTGACTTGCTGGCGGTGTTGACGATCTGAAGCGTGGCGTGGAGGTCCGCGCCCACCGTGACTGTTCGAGAGGGAAGGGGGACGGGGGGGAAAAGGGGGAAGGGGGAGTGGGGGGGGGGGGGGGGGGAGGGTGGGGGGAAGGGGGGGAAGGGTTGGGGTTGTTTTTATGGGGGGAGGAAGATTGTTAGGGGGTATGTGGATGGGAAGGAGGAGGGAGAAATCTGAGACCGGGAATAAAGAGCGGAGGAGAAGAAGTAGAGACCTCGGAGGAGAGGAAGTAGAGACCTCGGAGGAGTGGAAGTAGAGACCTCGGAGGAGAGGAGGCATGCGGCGAGATAGGAGAAGGAGATCCAGAAAGACCATGATAACAATCAGAGGGGAAACGAGGGGCAACGAGGGGTAACGAGGGGCAACGAGGGGTAACGAGGGGCAACGAGGGGCAACGAGGGGTAACGAGGGGCAACGAGGGGCAACGAGGGGTAACGAGGGGTAACGAGGGGTAACGAGGGGCAACGAGGGGCAACGAGGGGTAACGAGGGGCAACAAGGGGCAACGAGGGGGGCAACATACTACTGCTACTAGCAGTAGCTGGTAGTATCGACTAGACACATGCGTGCTTACATGGGAACTGCACGCTGGGCTGGTTCAGCTTAACGCCGTCCATAATGTCACCCGTCCGACGACTCCGAGTCAGAGTCCGTCAGAGTCCGTCAGAGTTTGTCAGAGTTTGTCAGGCGTGACTACTACTCAGTACTAGTGAGTGACGTCCTAGTAGTAGTAACGAGGCTCTCGAAGAAAGGAGCCCGCAACTTGATTTCTGAGGGGTAGAGAGACACAGAGAGCGATGTTATTTTTTCTTCGTCTTCTTCTGTTGCGAGGTGGATATATACAAGACGCCTTTCGAGCCTTTCGAGCTCGATAAATAGTACTACTATGAGTGGAGCAACGGTTCGAAATTGCGGCGGTGCTAGTAGGGTTGAGTCTTGAAGAAGGAAGACTCCGAGATTTATAGCGCCGAGTAAATTCGCCGACCGTACTACTAGTAGCGATAGTACAACCTCCTCGAGCGCCAAGGATAGTAGTACTACTAGTTGTAGTACTATGACGCTGGGTAGAGAAACCGCTTGACCTGATACGTGTCTTAAACGCTTAGACGGTGGCAGAAGTAGGCATCACGCTTAGCTACGTCAGAACGCACTGCTCACTGCAGCGTCGCATGGGCGTTTGCACTTCTCCGCAAAAGGTGACTAGGACTGGAGTTATCAGACGGGCGCACCTGCTGAAATGCAAGGGCTGTTTGCTCTGGTCGGACTTTTGGTCAGACCAGAATGCTGCTTGTGTTGCGTCAGGGCTTGGGATCTCAGCAGCAGCAAGCCAGGTTGCAACAAACATACATCGGTACACCTTTCCCTATCTATTGTTCTACCCGTGACAGTAAATTGTAATCTCACCTAACAGGTTCTCAGCATGACTCGCGTTGACACTGAACCTGATTGGCTGCAGTCTGAACGTTAGCGAACAGCCAAGTCGTATTTCGACAATTGCGAGTTTCAGAGCTGGGACGTCGCGCATGCAACTAATATAGTGCATGAGCGAGATCTTTTGTAACCAAGTGTCAGTGTCTACTGTGGGTTTTCCCTTCAAGGTCCCGTTTGCCCGTGTTTTACCATTTCCTTTTTCCAGACTCAAGTCGCGTGCTGAAAAAATCAACGTAAATAGGAAAAACAGTGTAAAGTGGTGTGGTGTGGCTCGAAACCTCAGCACCCAACCAGTTGATATGGTTCGGGATGGTTTGGTCTGACTGACCAGACCACACCATGCCTGTTTGGCGTTCAATGGCCATCTTGGAGCTGATTCGGAACTTGGTTCGGTGGAGCAGACGCGGTTGAGTGGAACTTCGTGCAGAAATGGGGAAAGGCGGAGTCCCCGAGACAGGTTGAGAGCCCAACCAGAATCTCGTCGACGAGGTCCGAGTCACCTTCCATCCCTAAAAGCTGCCCACATGCTACAGAACCATTGCATTATCAGGCGTATCAAAGAATAAAAAATTAGTAACCTTAAATTTCCATTTCATGAACCCCAACCAATCTTGCCCAATGAACACGCCCGCAAAAACTCTTCCAGCGTGACCCCGTTGACTTGCAGTGCGGACCGTGGACAACGCGGACCAAACGCCAAACCCGCTGCTCCGCTGGATGTCCCAACTGATCCCAGCCTTGTATCGTTCACGAAGCCAGATGACCACTTGTGGTAGCCTAGATCGCCAGATTTCGCCGAAATGCATGGATGGAGAAACCAGGAAATTTACTCTTGCTGCCAAGTCTGAAATTTTTGCTCACGCCTGGCCGGACGAGCCTGATTGAGGTTCGGAGCGAAATACAGTTCGGGCCAGCAAGGCACGAGAGACTCCTTGTCGCTCACAAGGTGACACCTGACCGGGAAAAGTGTAGGCTCGGAACAGCCAAGGATGAATCTGCTGACCGAAATTTGTCATAGCACCCAAATCCACCCAACACATCCGAGTTTCGCCCTTGGGCTTTGGTGACTTGGCGTAGATCCGCGAAGATGAGGCAGAGGGCCTGAACGAGTGCCGAAAACGAACGTGAACTTGATTGCGGTTGAGTGCGGTTATCTTTTGTTGTGATCACTATATCGAACAGCTCTGTAGTGTGTTGAGAGTAAACTAGTGTTTGAGTAACGCCGATGTACACCATCGCTCCACACCCCCTAAGTAAAATCACATTGCAGGATGCCAAGCTGAATTTACCACTCGCCAAATCAACCAATCTCGCATACAAACCAACTAGGGCTCAAGGTTCAGAAACAAAGACCCCTTCAAACACGATAGATCCCCATAAAGGCCCTTTCATCTAAGGACGACCACGACCCAGGAGACGAAATATTTTTGCTGAAGGATATCTATTCATCAGCTTCAAGAGAAAATTCTTAGTGTAGAACGAATTGACTTGAATGAGGTGGTACAAAGAGATATAATGCAAGGGATTGTACTCTATATAAGCATGCACCTAGCTAGCCTATAATATATGCATAATTTATATTGATACACCCCCTAGGCTAGACAAGGGGCATTGATTAGCAAGAGAGACACAACTCAGAGTGAAACTACTAGTCCAACCTCTGAGGTAACAGTCCGAAGGCCAGTCAGCAAGAGTACAAACAAAACCAATGTAACCCATGGCGGCACTACTACTCCAGCCATTAGAGCAAGAGCCACAAGGTCTGTCGAGATAATATAAGTATTAGTACACAGTCAGGGTCCTAGCAAGTGAGAGACAACAAGAACTAGAACCAGTTGTAAACAGTAACGCTGATGATCTTTAGGCGTGCCCTGTAAAGACCACTAGCCTGCGTTCTCCTAGCACTAGCCCCATGTCCAAAGTACTCGCTAGATAACGCAAAACCCTTTTAGCGGCCGACCAGTGTTGTATGTGGTCGGTGTCTGCCTATGGCCACAAAGCGAGCCAGGATGCTGAGATGGTACGCGAGATCTGGACAAGTGCAATTCATCAGGTACATAAGGCAACCCACCAGCACAGCGTAAGAACCACTAGGTTTTACAGACTCATTAGGGACTGGAGCCGAGAGCCTGTGATCTACTGGCCGAGGAATGGGTTGTGCGGAGGAGAACTAAAGACCGAACCTCTGAAGGACCTGGCGCACCAAGTGTGACTGTGTGAGAGTGATGGTGCGCGCTGCTCTGTCCCTAGAGATCTGCAGGCCAAGGTAGCGGCGCAGCTCTCCTAGGTCAGTGCAGGTGTGTCTCCTCAGCAGCTCGGCCGTCACGGAGGCCACCGCGTCTCTGTCTGCAGTAGCGAAAACCAGGTCATCTACGTGGACAAAGATGTAGAACGGAGTCTGGCCGGAACGAACGAAGAGCGAGGGATCTGCAGACGACGGGAAGAAATGCAGGTCAACTAGCTTAGCACGCAGAGTCTCATGCCACTTACGGGGCTCCTGTCGCAGGCCGTAGACCGGGCGCCGGAGGAGCCACTGGGTCCCAGGCGGGAAGGTACCGGTGAAGCCCTGTGGACGGCGCAGGTAGACCTGCTCATGTAGGCTACCCTGAAGAAAAGTAGTGGAGAAGTCGAGGGAGTGGAGCTCGTAGTCACGCTGTGCTGCTACGTATAGCAGCGCCCGAATAGTAGTCACCTTCGCGCAAAGGTTCTGAAGAATTCCACACCCTCGCGCTGACTGAAGCCTCTAGCAACGTAGCGTGCCTTGAACACGTGCGGCTCTCCAGGAGGGCGCTTCACCTTGAAGAGCCGCCGACCATCGACTACGTTCACCCCAGGTGGGGGAACTGCGTTGACGTAGGTGCCGGTGGATCTCCAAGATGCCATTTCCGCGTCCATGACAGCTATCCACGGAGAGGCCCAGAGTCCCGAGGTCGCCTCAACGTAGGTGCGAGGGGTCGGGATGTCGAAGGCGTCTGGGTCACCCTCAGGGACTAGCAGAATGGAGCAAAGATGAGGCGCGGCCTCGAATAGGAAAATAAGCTCGTTTTGCCAGTCCTCTAGGACGTCACTGCCAAGGGCAGGAGCACCCCTGACGAACGGAGGACGGGCAGGTTCAGAGACCAGAGCGGTGGCGTAGTGAAGGCGGCAGGTAGAGGCGAAGTCAGCGACAGCAGTGACAAGAGCGTCAAGAATCGAGATAGGAACAGACGGGTCGGTAACGAGGGAGGCAAGGAACCGAGGAACAAGAGGACTAGCGGCACGAAGGTAGTCAGACAGAGGAGGCGCATCGACAACAAGCGAAAACGGAGGAGGTGAGGAAAGGAGGGGAGGACGAGACGCGTGGGAACGAAGCAACATCGGGTGAGAGCGCTGGATAGGAGAGACACGACGAGCACGAGAGGGACGACGAGACCAGAAGTGGGTCGGGGACGTCGGGTCAGGAGACACAGGAGGAGAACGAAGGGGGAAACGAGCCGGAGACGAGTATGGAGGAGGAAAGACAAGGTCGTACACCATATAAGTTGTATATGTTATAGGCTAGCTAGGTGCATGCTTATATAGAGTACAATCCCTTGGGTTATATCTTATTTGTACCTCCTCATTCTAGTCAATTTGTTCTACGCTAACATGGTTTCAGAGCGATGGTGACTTGGGTTCAATTCCCAGTGTTAGCGCTACAAAGGCGCTCGTGACGTCCACCTATCCCATCGAGAGGGGGGTGTCAAGTGACACGCTAGGGTTACCCTCAGAGCCTGGGGGGCTATGGGAGACCCGCTATTAATTGTAATAATTTGACAGGTGTTGCAGGAGACTAAGTATAGAATGTGCAAACACGAGTACTTAACCAAGGATCTTTGCTGGAATGGTAGACTAGTAAGACAGCGGAAGTCTTATCAGAGTGAACCTGAGCACATGAACTTGTGGGTAGTGGAAGGTTGAATAACGTGAGCACATAATTCTGTGGAAAGTCAAGGTTGATAATAGAAAGGCATAACAAGGATTTTATAGCTCTAGGAAAAGTACCTCTATGCGACCTATTCGTCATACTATAGAGTCGCGACTGTTCGCGTGACCGAAACGACTCGTTACGCCTAATCGCGTAATTGAAGCGGTATGCTGATATCATCCCGAGAACTGCGATGCTTTGCTGACCTCAGCACTCGAGCATGGTTGCTTACTGAGAAACTCGATACCGCTAGCTACACTAAAATGAAACTTGCAGGAATGCAGAACTTCATATATCACAACACTCCCCTTCATTCCTGAAAGTTCGATGTAGTCACGTCGTGGTTGGAGTCCGGCGAATGAAATCTGCAATTTGGAATCTTGTGACGTGTAAACTTCATGTGCTGTAGGTAGTCAGCGGTCATTCCATTGGTCAAATGGTAAACCAATCGCTTTCTTCCCTTGTTGATGACGAATTTTGGCTTTGACGAAGTGCGCGTAGATCCCCCTTTCCCCCCTCACTTCGGCAGAGTAAAAATGAGTCGGGTTGAAAGTGGTTGGGGTTGCGCCAATGAACGTGGCAAGGCCGAAGGGGACGAATGCAAAAACCATGAAAGTGTTGCACGTGGTGGAGAGGAGCCTTGACATCATTTGGAGGCTTGACAAAAAACCGTGAAGTGACGGGCAGATCTGATGGTGCAGTTTTGGGCAGAGAATTTTGTTGAGTCAGCATAGCACGGAGCTGCTCACGTAGCTCGTGTAGGAAAATGTTCAACCGTTCTGCTTCGTTGCATTGTTGAGCGCGACGACGAGGGGTTTGGTAGCAGTTGATGCCCATGCCTTGCTCGT